CCCCAAAACCCCAAAACCCCAAAACCCCAAAACCCCAAAACCCCACTAGGCAAAATGAAAGTGATTGATTCATTATTAATTTAATATATAAAATTATAATCATAAACATAAAATGCAAGCTAAGACATCATACCTTAGAAGATACTTCTCAGCTGCCAGAGTTGTAAAGCAAAAGGGGCCAAACACCAACGTCACACCACACAACCCAGAGCACAGAGGGGGGTAAGTTACCTTGATTATTTCATCTTATATATACATAAATTATTTTTCAATCATAAATTCAATAAACAAATGAATAATTTTGCAATTTAGTATGGTTGATTTCGGATTTGCATCTACTTTCAACATGGGCTATGAAGGATTCAGTAAGCCACTCCCATTGAAGAGATCAAACCCAATCTACGGTAACAGAAATGAATTCTTGTGGCTTCTCGCTGGAGTGACTCTTATCGGTAGCGTAATCAGTTAAAGAAAGAATACTGAGGAAGCTTTAAGAAAAGAAGTTAAAACCACTAACAGATATGCTCTCTTGCCACTTGGTGCTGGCAGCAGACAACTTTCCAAGTGGACACTCTGAGCAATATAGATGACTTGCTGATCATCATAATTCTTTAATGGCGTAGTCGGATAAGAGATATTAATTGCCATCATTACTGTCTCTTTCCTCACTATAATTATTTAAACACATTAACTCTAATATTTCTCTTAATCAACTAAGCTTATGTCATTTAGAAGTAATAAATCACAATTATAGTCATGAATTAAGATTAAAATTATTAAATTAAGAGATAATATGATAATAATTAGATGATTTAGTCACTGAGGATACTTCTTGCTAGGATCCAAGTTAAATTAGTCAGGGATATAGGTGGAGGTTATCATATTGCTGGGAATGTCCTTTAGAACTTATCTTCTCTCAAAATCAAAACTTCCCAGATCTAAGTTCATGCTTGACATCTCTACTATCTCTCTAATATATTTAAACAGCTTTTAATTTACCTTAGGACTTAATGATTTGAGGGCTCTCTCACAAGTTGATTTATTTGCTCATTGAAAAGGTCAAGACTTTAATTGTCACTCATTCCACCGAACCCAACTTTAGGCAAGGCTATTTTCTTCTCTGAGGAAAGGATATGCTTCAATGACTGGCCTCTTTAGTTGTTGAAAGATGATAAGTCTTTAATGTTATTGTACGTAACTTACTGAATATTTGGGGGAAAAATCTTGAGTTGTAGTCTCGCATGAAACTTTGATTTATTTCCTCATTATCAATCTATTCTACCTAATAGTTGCAAGGAATTGTGAGGCTATTTCCTTGATGTCCTGGCAAAATTTCTACCTTATTTTACTAAAAGTTTATTTAGGATTGGTAATTATTAGTTGAATCACGAGCAAACCCCAAGTAATTATCAATGTCACTTCCATCTACAAAAGTATTTTGATTTAATTTACCTTCAAGCCTCATCATCATTGATGATTGATTATGATAACCGCCAGACTACTCATTTTTTAGCTTTCTCCAATTAATCTAGGAGAAATTCAAATAGGCATTGCAATTCTTTGGATAATCTTGATTGTAAATATAAGTTGTGGGGTTCTAAAGATTTTAAGCATTTATGATTATTTGCTATTCATTTTGTTGTTTTTTGAGCTCCAGATCTTGATAAGTGTCTGTTGACTTCAGAGCTAGTTTAGAAGTTAGACATTTATTAGCCTGAAACTTCCAAATCTAGCTTATATCTTTATTTACAAGTACATCCATCAGGCTTTGTTTTTGATAATTGTCCAATTATTACTATTTGCAATCTTTGACTCCAAAAGACTATATTTATGACTGCTGATTTTCCTTATCAAAGAAAGAAGTTTTACTAGGAGAGTCTGAATCATAGTTTTACGGGAGAAGAATTCTCTATTCAAACTCCTTATTTGTAGATATGATCTTCTTTCCTTTCTTGTATGGCCTTCGAATCTTTGGAGTGACATAACTTTGCTATTATTTTGGAACATTTATTCTCTTTGATTTGTCATTATTACTGCTATTCTCTTGAAACTAAGATTCTTCTTCTGATACCAATTTATTTTCACTCAGATCTTCACTTGCGTTAAACTTGTAGCAATTCTAATTCTGCTTTTTTAAGATATTAGTATTTTGCTCTCCTTTATGGTCTATATAATGCTTTGCTTTATCCAAAAGATTTTGGGCTTCGACGAATTCAGCATTTATCTGATCTTCATCAAAAGGTTTAATCGAGTTGAAAATCCTATTGCATTCATTATCATACGCAATCTTAGGTACTACTATTTCAGGCTCAAATAAGTTCATTTGGCTTTATTTCTAAAGCAATGAGCGCTATCTTCTTGTTTTAATACTGTAGCTGTTGAATTTTTAAGACTCATTTCTCATCATCAATCTTTTTGTTCTTTGTGATATGTTAGTAGTGATTTCATTAATCTTAGGCTAATTCTTGGATTCTTCCTCGTAGGCTAAATCCTATTTTGCAGAGGAAATGACCTAACTTTGATTGCTCAGAGAGTCCTCATCCTAATAATCATCTGCATCTGAATGCCTCTCCTGCTGCTTTCTTCTTCTTCTCTTCAGTTAGTTACCTACAGTAACTTTGGTTATGTGACACAATAGAATTCTCTCTGACTAATTATTTCTATCAACCTCAAGTAGTTTAGATTTGCAAATATCATTTCTAAGATTTCTTAGTATATCTGGCATTCTGTATAGGATCGAGTACTCTATGAGTATAAATTATTAAGAATATCTTACCTGAGGATAAAGCAACTACATGCATTCTTAGCAATTCAGAGTCGTATTTAGCTGATGCCACCAAATAAGTGCATAGTGGATTATTCTTTGGCAAATCTGTAGTAAAATTCATCTTTTTCCATTTATATCTCTTCTTAATCAATTAATCTCTTGGGAAACCGAATTCTCTCAGGTGCCAACCCTTAATAAAGTAGATCTGGCCAGCTATCATAATTGGTAATATGATTAAGGTAACCTACCTTTTGGTTTTTCATAGATTAGGGGTGGATGCCCATAGTCAGATATTAAATACTTTCCTGGGTTGAGCTCCATATATGCTCTGTAATGCCTCAGTAGGAAAGCATATTCAAAGCCAGTTAGCCATTAATTGACTTTGAATTTAAGAGCTCCATTTTAGTCAACTGTAAAGTCTAGGAAAGATTTTTAAAGTGCTACTTAGCAGATAGATTTATGACTTACCCTTAATTTAATTTGGAGTGAATGTATCAAAGTATCAACTCTCTTCTAAGCATCGATCAATACAATCATAGACAACATATTGCTCATTTTAAGTGTATCTCTTGTACTACAATTGACTAATTTTCACTAAGAATTCTTACATTCGCAATAAAAGCCTCTAACATCTAAAAATGATCAAGGTTTCCATAGTTGCCTTAATATATGCTTTGCAAATGATCCAATTCAGAGTTCTTGGAGTTTTATGTTTTTCCTTCTAATATTAGTTTTATTTTAGATCTTACTCTAGGAATGTTACATCTTAATATTTGATCTTTTCAGTAATAATTCACTCAGAATAATTAATTATAAATCTCAATAATATACTTAACATATCAATACCCGATTTCTGAATTATTCTATTTTATCCTAATGGGGTTTTGGGGTTTTGGGGTTTTGGGG